CTTAATTATTCCTTAACATTAACATTTCTGAAGGTAAGTCATTTTATTTTTGTTAAAATATACTTCACTGGAACACAACAATTATACAAAACAGTTTACTCAAACAAAATTACTTAATTATTCCTTAACATTAACATTTCTGAAGGTAAGTCATTTTATTTTTGTTAAAATATACTTTACTGGAACACAACAATTATACAAAACGGTTCACTTAAACAAAATTACATAATTATTCCTTAACATTAACATTTCTGAAGGTAAGTCATTTAATTTTTGTTAAAATATACTTCAAAATAATTGACCAACAGGTCCAATGCACTTGTGATTGGCAGGGCAATGAATTTCACTCATAAAATTTAATATGTTTATTTTAAAATTTTCATTTCAAATTATTTCTCAAATGAGTGTAACTTTCAACCATCTACTAACCTGTTGTATTTTAGGAAAGTAACAGCACTTAACAAGACAGAGAGAACTGCAGTCACCGTGTAAATGAAGAAAGTCACTGGATGATGTAGTCCCTGTATTCGTGTCCCTAAAGAAATATAATGAGAAGACTTGACTTGACTTTAAACCCTCAAACTCCCATAATATAAAATGTCAGTTCTCCTGACATTTTAACTTAAAATCATACATTTTGACTTAAAATCATACTGTTATATGTAAGAAGGATTATTGACTAACTATGTAGAGCAACGATTAACCACCCCCCGGTTAGCTCAATTGGTTAGAGTGCCGGATTGTGTTGTGCGGGAGGTAGAGGGTTCGAGCCCTGGCCGGACCAATATTCATGGTCTTAAAATCACTGAGGAGAATTTGCTAGCTTTCTATAATATGGATAGGGATGAATAAACCGTAGGCCCCATCTCCTGCAGGGTTAGGGGTAGGAGACGTTAATTTCCCATGCACGAGATTACTGTGTGATAGATGTCCTCCCCTGGGGTGGGATGGGTGGGTGTTCATAGGGCCCCATTTAAACTAGCTATCTGCTAAACTGGGTTACCCTGTATAAATATTCGTAAATACATACATACATATATGATTAATTGTGGAGGTGGAGAGAGGGTAAAGGGGGGAGGAGAAGACAAGGGAAAGAAGGAATAAAGGAGACAAGAGACAATAGGATAGCAAGTAGGAGTAAATGCCAAAAAGTAAATATTCATTTTTTAATCATTTATCTGCATTGCTCATAACTAAAGGATCTCAAGGCTGTTGTCAAATGAGGTGGAAGCAATAGTTTAGCTGTCGCTGTCGGAGCGAAGGGCTAACACTCGAATTGTCAGCTTTTATAACCGTAACGGTGGCCAATTTACCATTTCAACTTTGTTGATATATTCAAATTACTCCTAATGAAATGTTAGAAAACAAAACCCCAGTGGCAAAATAGATTGCAATCAGTATATTGTAAGTTATCTCCATTTGTTTTCTCTAAACAAAGAAGACATCTCTCCCAGTTCACAGGAGTGAACCATTTGAAAGTTTTCCACTCCTGTGTACACTTAACATAGTCTGTATACTGAGGCATATGAGATTTGACTCTGAGATCTACCAGGAGTTTAGTTTAGTTTAGTTTAATTAATTCGCCACAGGAATGGCAGGAGAAAGGAACAGAACTTTCATTCCAATTGACACCTAACCCCTTTTTTACCCACCCATCCCACCCTGGCGAGGACATCCATCACACAGTATTCTTGTGTGTGGGAAATTGGTATGTACTTCATGGCTGAATGCCATATAGATGACAGATAGTTCTATGCCGTATATACATCTTATTAACCAAGCGCGAGGGCCGTACTGGGAGAATATTGGCCCGAGGTCTTGACAGTATGGACCTCGCTGCGCTCAGTCCATACAAAAAAGACCAAGGGCCGATATTCTTCCAGTACGGTCCCGAGGAAGCTTGGTTAATAGGAGATTTATTATACAACTGAAGTTCAAAGGGACACAAGTGCGGTATCATTCGGGACCGTGCCTGGTCCAATACTGAGAGAATATTGACCGGCAATAGAGCATTTTGATTGGTTGATTTTAGCTATTGGCCCTCTAACTGCCCGAGTCGTGTAATAAAGACNACCCAGCCGTCCTTCACCATCTCTATCCATCCCTAGCCATCCTTTATCATGCATAGCCATACCCAGCCATCATTTACCATCCCTAGCCATCCATTACCATCCCTAGCCCTCCCTAGCCATCCATAGCCATCCCTAGCCGTCCTTTACTTTGGCTAAGTTCCGAGCTTTTTATCTGAATTCAAAACTTTTGAACTCGAAATAGTTAATTTTTTACAGCGTTGCGCGAGTTGCCCCGTGTAACAGCACCTTTAACATTGATTATTTAACTTGTATTGGGTCATTAATACAGTCTAAATACGAACAAAGCTAGCATTTCAAAAGGAATGGCACTAGCAGATATGATACAAATCAGAATATCCTGCCAATGTGAAAGGAGTGTTTGATAAAAAATAAATAAAAAAGTTGACTTTACGTTTTACCTATTTCAGAAAAGGTATGAATTTTATTTGTCCTGTTGAATATATTTCACTCGTTCCCTAACCATTAGTCCAGACACTGTACCCTTAATTCCCTATCGCTCGGTTTTCTCTTTTGACAGGGAAGGATACAGCGTCTGGACTATAGGTACATACGTGTAGGATGGCTGGAGATTGCAAAGGATGGCTGGGTATGGCTATGGATGGCTAGGAATAGCTAACAATGGTAAAGAATTGTTATGGATAGATAAGGATGGTAAAGGAAGGCTAGGGGTGGTAAAGGATGCATGGGGATGGCTAGGGATAGCTAAAGATGGTAAAGGATGGCTAGGGATGGCTATGAATGGTACAGGATGGCTGGGGATGGCTAGGGATGGTGAAAGATGGCTAGGGATAGCTAAGGATGGTAAAGGATGGATGGGGATGGCTGGGAATGGTTAGTGATGGCTAGGGATGGTAAAGGACAGCTAGGGATGGCTAGGGATGGTAAAAGATGGCTAGGGATAGCTAAGGATGGTAAAGGATGGATGGGGATGGATGGGAATGGTTAGTAATGGGTAGGGATGGTAAAGGACAGCTAGGGATGGTAAAGGATAGATAGGGATGGTAAAGGATGGCTAGGGATGGCTATAGATGATAAAGGATGACTGGGTATGGCTAGGGATGGTAAAGGATGGCTAGGGATGGTAAAGGATGGCTAGGGATGGTAAAGGACAGCTGGGTATGGTAAAGGATGGCTAGGGATGGCTAGGGATGGTAAAGGATGGCTATAAATGGTAAAGGATGGCCGGGGAGGGCTAGGGATGGTAAAGGATGGTTATGGATGGCTATGGAGGGCTGGGGAGGGCTAGGGATGAATGGGGATGGCCACGGATGGCTAGGGATGGCCAGGAATGGCTAAGGATGGTAAACGATGGCTAGGGAGGGCTAGGGATGGTAAAGGATGGCTATAAAGGGTAAAGGATGGCTGGGGAGGGCTAAGGATGGTAAAGGATGGCCATGGCTGGCTTTGGAGGGCTGGGGAGGGCTAGGGATGGATGGGGATGGCTACGGATGGCTAAGGATGGCTAGGGGTAGCTATGGATGGCTAACGATGATAAACGATGGCTACGGATAGCTAAGAATGGTAAAGGATGGTTAGGGATGGTAAAGGAAGGCTGGGGATATAAAAGATGGCTAGGGATGTCAAAGGATGGCTATGGACGGTAAAGGATGGCTAGGGATAACTAAGGATAGTAAAGGATGGCTAGGGAGGGCTAGGGATGGTAAAGGATGGCTAGGGATGGCTAGGGATAGCTATGGTTGGCTAAGGATGGTAAACGATGGCTAGGGATAGCTAAGGATGGTAAAGGATGGCTAGGGATAGCTAAGGATAGCTAGGGAAGGCTAGGGATGGTAAAGGATGGCTATGGATGGCTAGGGATAGCTATGGATGGCTAAGGATGGTAAACGATGGCTAGGGATAGCTAAGAATGGT